CCACCTCCTCGGGACCCCGAGGCTGTATGAGTGATGTGCGGTGACCAGGATGGTCACCAGAAGTTATGACCACAAGTCCTCCCCAGAGCCAGGGGGAACGTCACACCCCAAGACCAGAACAGAGGGGCAGATGTCAGGAGGGCGCCTGGGACCCTATTCTTGTCCTGAGCAAGGCAACTCTGACCCAGGTGAGACCGAGGCGGACACAGACCAGGATGTCACAGAAGGAGAACCTCGCCCTCAGGGCTACACCAGTCCACGGACCACATGCTTCAAGGTAACCTAGGGGCTTGTTACCAACACACATTCCTGGGCCTCCTACAGCCACTGTGACTCAAAATCTTGAGGGGTAGGTCTCTGAGTCTGTGTTAAAAGTTCTCCAGGTGATTCGAGAGGCACCCAGGGAAGTTCCAACCTGAAGCATCACTGCCCAGCCCCGGCCAGCGGGGGCTCCCAGCCTTCCTCGCCGGGAAGAGCTCTGTCTGTCACCAAGAGGAGGACTTCCGTTTCTGCCAATAAGTGGGTCTGATGCCATGAAAAGCCTCTCTCTGCAAGTTCCGGAACAGAGCCAACCTCCTGCAGGCTCTGCTGAGCTCACCTGACAGGGAAGGGGGTGTCCCCATGGCCAAGAGGGGAGCAGGTGCGCCCTGGCTCTGACCCGCTGGCCTCTACGGGTTGCCCACCTGAGGAGCCCCAGTGTGGGCGTTACTGCCCCCCGAGGGGAAGAGGCCGCGCCTGGAGGCAGCATGAAGCAAGAACTGGCAGCTGAGACTCCACATCGAAACGCTGAACCAAGAGCCAAAGGGTGACGCAAACCACACCACAGAGCCAGACAAAAGCCAGCCAAACCCTCGCGTCGGCCAGCGGGGGAAGGACGCTCCCCTGCCATGGCCTGAGCTCCTGGAGTGTAAGTGGTGGTGTGCTTAGGCTCGCCCTTACGGGACACTGGCTCTGTGTTTACGTGACACGGGTTGTCTAGAAAACCCCACACCTCTAAACCAACCCCACGCGTGTCCTGGCGTGGTTCGCGGGATCACCTCTCCAGAGCCCCCGGGAACCCATGGGAACCTCCACAATCACAGCCTACGCCGGGACCCACGAAGAAGCAAGCGTCAGAGAGTCCACCGCGAACAGAATCGGACTCTCCAAGAGGCGCAGGTGAGGGAGGGACAGGAGGGGTACGAGGAGATGAGCACATTCAAGGGGCTGAAGAATCCAAAGCGCTGTCGTCAAACGGGAGGAAAATACAAGACGCTAAGACCAAGCAGGTGAGCCCCTCACATGAGGACATTTGGAAATGGAAAACCAGGTGGCAACTGAAATACACACCTTGCCGGCTGGCACACAGCAAGAGTTAGGAAACCACGAAGAAGCTGTGCAGGATGCAGCACAGGAAGACCGAGACGGCAGGTTTGAGAGACGCCGAGGAGGATGGACCTGGAGGGGCAAGTGGAAGTTTCCAGGCGAGGTCAGAGCAGTTAGGGGAGGTACTGTTCTAGGACACGGTGGGGCTGATTTTCCACTTGACGCAGGACACAAACCCTCATTCAGGAATCACGACACCTTGTAGGCAGGACAAGTAAAAATAATCCACCAGCTTGACTGACTATAGTGAAACGATGGAACACCAAAGTCAAAGAGAAGGTATTCAAGGCCACCAGACGGGAGGAAGGGTCACCTACAAAGGACTGTCAGTTAGCTCAACAGGGCACACCAGCCGGGAGACAGTGGTGGATCTCCAGCCTGTCAGACAGAATACAGACCTCTAGTAACCTATAACGGAAAAGAATCTGAAAAAGAATAAATATATACACGTATATATATATATATATATATATATATATGTGTGTGTGTGTGTGTGTGTGTGTGTAACTGAATCACTTTGCTGTACACCTGAAACACTGTAAATCAACTATACTTCAATTAAAACAAATTTTTTCTATTAAAATAAATACAGATCTCAGCCTGTGATGTTCTACACAACTAAACCATTGTCCAAGAGCAAAGGCAAACTACAAAAGTTTCAGACGAGCAGAAACTGAGCAGGCCGTCGACAGACCATCCCGGAAGAGAGCACAGGCTTCAGGAGGAAGGAAACTAAACCCAGACTGAGAGACAGAAAACTCGCAAATCTGTCGGCAAACACACTCCTGTAGCGTCAGGACAAGCAGCTAACGCAGAGGACTGTTTACAAAGGCAAAAGCCAAACACGGGGCAGCAGAGCCCGTGAAACGGGAGGGTGATGGGGGGGAGGGGGTGCGGAGGGCAAGGAGCAGCTGCTGACCGATGGGACGGGCAGGCCGTCAGGACAGAATCGACTTGCACGGCCTCCACACGCGGAAGGCAAGAGGATCGGAACCCCGCCACCCCCGGCGAAGCCCATCAGACGTGAAAAGGAGCTGCAAAACCTCAGAGCAGGCAGGGCCTCCACGCCTCTGACGTGGTCCCTCCACGGAGCGGGACACGTGGGCTTCAGGCCCATCATTCTCCGAAATTCTCTGTCTGAAGTCTCTGTGATGAGAGTGCTCTTTTCACCTGGTGTCCTCACCCCGCCCCCACCCCACCCCCCACAGCTCCACCGTCACCCCGGGAGCCCCTGAGGTCACAGGTCCCACCTCCAGCTGGCTCCTGGCTCCCCCTACCCGCACCCCAACACCATGGCTGCAGGCCCTGGGCTGGCCCGCCACCGAGTCTCGCCTGTGGGCCCTGATCAAGTCCTGCCCGCTGCCCCGTGCGTGCCACCCCAGGGAACCACGCAGGGCACAGGGCTAACCCATGGCCACTCCTGCTCCGTGGCCTCCACAACCTGCCCCGTCCAATGCCTGCTGGGTCCGGGTCACGACTCATGCCCGAGGCCACCAGACTGGTGAAGAAGCCCCGCAGGCATCTGTGTGAGGTGGGTGAGGTCAGCACCCGCCCAACGCAGACACCGCGTGCCACGCCCAGGTCACCTGGCAGACACGCAGAGGTGTGGCTGGCCCCCGAACACCTCTGTCCAAGATACTCCTGCCATTCGCTGGCCTTTCCTCACCCTCCCAGCCAGTTCCACTCAGCCCTGACGTCACCTCCTCCTAGAAGCCTTCCCGGACCTGCCGGGCTCAAGCCAGGTACTCAGCCCTCAGAGGCCCACACACTCTGCCCTCTTGCTGTCGCCTTTCTTCCTCCCTGGATGTCAAGGAGCGCGAACAGTCCCTGGAGAGTCAGGATGGCGCGAGCAACCGAGTGACCGGAACCTGCAGGGGGGTGGGCGCCGTGCAGGAGGGACCCGGGCCACACCGGCCACCTGTCACCGCTCACAAGATCTTCCCTGAAGACGGGCATCCACTCGGAAATCAGAGCGGCTCAGACCATGCCCTAGAACCCACGAATGAGGGGGAGCAGGTCTGCCTGGGACACGGGGCCTGAGGGTCACAGGACAGGAGCCCAGAGAAGCTGCGAGCCTGAGACACAGAGAGATATCACTGAGGTGGGGGAGAGGTGTGCGGGCGGGCACTGCCGTGGGCAGGGGATACCCTGGGCTGGTAGGTGCCGTGGGCAGGGGGGCAGGCGGGCGCATGGGCAGGTACCGCGTGCTGGGACAGAGGTGATTTTGTCCAGCACGCCCCATCCTTGAGGTTCAGGTTCAAGGCCTGGGACTGGCGTGGCGGTGGAATTCAGCACGGCTGTTTGCGCCCCAGCGCGTGGGAGCTGGGCCTGCAGGCCTTTCCCAGTGATGGCATCTGGCCCCGGGATTAGCGCCCCTTCGCCCACACCAGGGCTCTTGAGAGCCTCTGGGTGAGGAGGGTTCAGGAGTGTCAGGTAACCCACGGGACCCAGGCCGACAGCTCAGGCTCCAGAAATCCGGTGGCTCTGGGCTGGGCTGACTTATCGCGTTGGCAGGAAAGAAAAAACTCCTCCGTGCGGGAGCATTCCACAAAAGGCGCCCGACTTCCCGGCACTTGTACCTCATTAACATTCCGTAGACATCGCTGAGGACTTAATAACGCCAAGCAGGCTGAATGGACGCATCGTTTCGGGCTGCTCCGCATTCAGCCACCAGCGAGCGACGCTCCTTCCCGCGCCCGACCTGCGCATTAGCATTTGCAGAAAGCCCCCATCTGCATTGCGACAATGGTCCTGCCCCAAATCCGGAGCCGTTGTCACAATTGTCCTTTGTACCCACTCCAGCGGGCAGGCAGGCAACGCGACCCAGAGGCCCGTCGGCGAGGCGGCCGGGCCAGAATCCCGACGGTGTGTGAGGAGGCCCTGGGCAGCCCAGCGCCCAGCAGGGTGGGCGCCCAGGCTCGGTCTTGCACGCCCAGCTCCCAGAGAGGACGTCCACAGGCAGCCTTGGGAGCAGGGAGAGGCCGTGGCTCCTTTCCAGAACACTTTCTGCCCTTCTGCCAGCAGTGACCAGATGCGGGAGGGTACATCACGGGTTGGCCGCCCACAAAGCCAGCACCAGGCGGACGGGGTGCCAGCCGCCCATGAGCACAACGTGAACTCACCACCCTCTGCCACGCTTGAGACAGTGACACCACCCTTGCAACCACCAGTAAGCTGAAACGTTCTGGCGGACGCGGGAACACTCTGGGGGTCCCGGGAAGAGGTCCAGGAGGGGAGGGATGGACACAGAAGTGACAGGGAACAAAGGCGCAGAGCGTCGAGGAGGGCAGAGCTGCAGGCACACACGGTGCTGGCTCAGGACCCCCAGCCCCACTCCACCTGGAATGGGGGTCAACGTGTACTACAGGCCACCTCCTCTCTGCCAGACCTGGGGCGCTAGCCACACAGCACGAGCGAGGCAGGGCCTGGCTCCCAGAAGCCCAGAACAGAAGAGAACGTCCGCGGGTGATAGCGGGCCAGCGGGAGCAGACATGACAATACCAGCTGTCCACAGGACAGGAGCAAGTGCTAGGGGGAGAAGGGGGCGTCCGGACACCCCAGAGGCCCCAGCAGCCCTGGGTCAGAGCTGGGCGTGGCCCTGTCCCCACCCCTCACCCTGTGTGAAGGTTTCTCACCAGAACTGTCGTAGCCGTCCACCGAGAAGTGTTCAGGCCTCCGCTCCTCCGAAGTGGGGTCGCAAGTGATGTGCGGGACCGTCAGCATCTTCTCTCCCGGGCTCACCCCGTTATCCCTGTCCAGTTTGAACTTTTTTTTCTTTACCTAAAAAAACCAGACAATAAAACTGTCAGTTCCTGGGTGTCGTCTGCCAGGCCGTCTGCTGGCCCCAGACCACCTCTGGGGCACCTGCCAGGGCCCAGGCCAGCGCCCTCCCACACAGGCAGAGGGGGCTGCAGCGTGTGATGCTGCCAGAGGGGCTCTGCCCAGCGGCTGCCCTGGGAGCTCACAGCCTGGGGGCAGGCAGACAGGAAACTAGCCAGCAGATAAACACACAGGAATACCCCAGGGCAGGTGGTAACGAGGGCTGTGACCAGCGGGGAGTTAGAGTGGGGCAGGGCGGGCAGACAGACTGAGGCCAGCCGAGGCTTCCCTGAGGAGGCGGCCTGGAGGGAGCAGGCCATGCTGGGATCTGGGAGAACCTTCTGGCAGAGGAAAGAGCAGGTGCAAAGGCTCCAGAGGCAGCCAGAACCTGGGAGCCATCTCCACGGATGGCGCGCGCATGGGCGCGGGCCAGGAAGGAGAGCTCTGTCGGGGTGGGCCACACCCTTCGTGCACGAGACTCTTGCCTCAAGTCTGCCCGAGCTTCCCTATCCTATGACCACAAGACCCTCTTCCCTGAGCCAGGATGCCACCTCCAGCCCCTGTGGCCCACCAGGCCCAGCATGGAAAGCCCAACACCAAGGCCCTCTCAAGAGCCTTCTCCCAGCAGCTGGCCAGAATCCAGCCCGTCCTGTTCCCGGGGTACTTCCTCGGGACCTCCCACAGCCCTGGCCATGGAGCAGCCAGTCCTACAAGCCCCCAAGCCTGGGGACACCGGGATGGCAGGAGCCCAGCACGGGGTGTACTCCCCCAGTGCCCACAGTGCCATGGGCCACGCCGGGCTGAAGCACCAGAGTCAAATCCTGGCCGTGGGCTGTGGCCGCATGGCCTCCCCGCCCGTGTGTGAGTGCCCCATCCTGGCGGCAGCGGGGGGGCTGGTTACCATGGCAGACTTCTTGGGCTTGGGGCTGGGGGAGAGCAGAGCATGGCTGCGGGGCGGCTTCCGGACGTAGATCTTCCAGGTGGAGGAGTTGGGGTTCTCGGCCGCGTAGCACCGCCACGCCGTCTGAAACCGGCAGAAGGGAGTGGTTGTCACCGCGGAGCCCCTGATGGGGACTCCCAGGGAGCTGCGGCCCGCCACTCCTGCCTGGGCCCCCTTCTGGCAAGACCATGGGGCTTCCTGGCCACCAGCCCCTTCCCCAGGCTCAGGGCCTGCCCCCACCCCCAACAGCCTGTTCCCTTCTGCAGCCCACAGCCTCATGGACGGTCGCACGCGGTTCAGCCACCACAGGGGCCTGTGAGCCCCAGTCCGTCTGCGCCCACCTCCACCTGCCGGTTCCCCCGCAGGGCCCCCGCCCTCCGTCCTGGTCGCCGGCCTCTCCTCGGGGACGCCGCAGGGGAGAGGTCACTGGGGGCGTGGAGGGGCAGGGCCCCCAGGGCCAGCAGGAGGCGGGGCTGAGTGTCCAGGAGGCAGAGCCCCCAGGAACCCACAGTTTCCGGGGCCTCCAGATGGCCTGGGGGTGAAGGTCTTAGGCCTTCACTCTAGAGATGCCCACGGCAACTACCACCAGGGTGTGGCCTGGAGGAGGAGACCCAAGGGGAGGCCACGTCTGGTGGTGGGGCTGGAGGGGGCGCCAGGAGCCTCGTAGGAGGAGGCACCCTGAGGGCCTCGGCACTGCCGGCCACGGGCGCTGGAGAGAGAGATGCCGGGCGGGGGCCGGGGAGGGCTCCTGGGACAGTGATGCCACCTCTGCGATGGGAACCCAGCGGACATGCCGCCCCGGCCCCCCCGCCCCCCTCATCCCAGCCTCGCCCTCCAGGCCCCGCCCTCCAGGCCTCTCCCGCCTCCTGAGAGGCTCGTGTGAGGCCGCACACACGCCCCACGGGAAGTCAGCGCCCCCTCCGCGGGCAGGCCGTCTGCAGCCTGATTTACGGTCTCCCCGAGAGGAGGCTGTGGCGCCGTAAAGCCAGGCCTGAGCGGGGGCCGGGCCCCCAGCTTTACGGCTGTTGCCTTCACTTCCTTCCGGGGCAGGATTAGCGTCCGGCCCCAGACGGTGGTTCCGGACAGGCTTACGAGGAACAGGATAGAGGCCCCGGCTGGGCTGCAGTCGCCGGCGTGACCCCAGACGGTCTCCGGGGGCCGTTCAGCTCTGGGTGCCCAGAGGGGTCCAGGCTGTGCAGGGCCGCACACCCACGCCGGCACGCGGTGACAGCCCTGCTCCGGGCCCCTGCCCGGCCACCCCTCCCGTAGCCGCGCGCCCACTCCGCCTTGTCGTCAGCCCCGGGCGGCCGCCGTCCGACACCCTCGGAACACGAGCCTCCAGAGGTCCCTGTGCCCGGGCCTTGCTTGGCACTGAGAGGGCCGCCCAGTCCTCCAGGCTGTTCCAGGAGCCTGGGGTCTCGGAGCCCAGCGTCCAGGGGCTCGGGGCCGCCTGCCTGCTTGCCCGCCTCTGGAACCTTCCTCTCCCACTGCTCTTGGGCTGGGAGCCTCTGGGACAGCCTCATCACAGAAACCTGCAACCCCTGCCCCGCCCTCAAGGCCCGGCACCGTGAGCCCCGGGCCCTGTAGGGGCAGCAGCCGGGCCTTCAGAAAGTGAAGCTGGCCCGTCAGTCCAGAGCGCAGCCCGTGCCGTTGGGTCACCGGTCCTCACCTCCTATCGGCCGGGAGGACTGAGCCCCGTGGGTGCTGGGAATGGCCCACAAGCATCAGTACTGCACAAGCAGGCCCTGACCCCTGACCCTGGGGGGGGAACGGCCACCTGGGGACCCCTTACTCTTCGCTCCAAGTCCTCCCTTGCAGAGTCGGGGGCTGGCCACAGAGGAGGGAGAAGACAGACACCAGGCGGCCGCTGCAGCTGGAGGCCAAGGGCCCACCGGACTGACCAAATCCGGGACAGGCCAGGCCACCTTCTAGTCCCCCGGCCTGGCCCACAGGATGGAGGAAGGTGGGCTCCCAGGCTCCTGTGCCCCCACCCCATCGGCACCCGACGGTTCCCAGGACAGGAGTTCCAACAGGTGGTCATGTCTGTGGCACGGATCGCGGCCCTTCCGTGTTCAGGAGGGTCCACAGGAGAGGGTCTCGGCGGCCCCGGGGGCCGGGTGAGCTCAGGGCTGAGAGCCGTTCCCAGACCAGACACGGCTCGTACTTGCCCGGGCAACACAGGGCCGGGCACACTGACCACCACACGACGGCGACAAGGCCGTGGCGGTGGCTGCCATCACCTGGATGAGCGAGGCTGCCGCCGGGATCTGCCGGTTGAAGTGCTTCTGCCTCTGCTTCTGCTGGACCTTCAGGGCAAAACCGGAGCCCAGAATCCCCTGCAAGGAACAGAAACCAGGGCTCACATCCTGCAGACGGGGGCGTGGAGAGACGGGCTGGGCACCGGTGGCCTGCTTGGCGCTGCGGGCCCCGTGGAGGAGGTCGGCGCCTCCGGCCCAGCCCGTGGGCAGCCCCACCCAAGCAGGACCCACTGCTGCCCCCACCCCCCCAGGACTGCTAACGGGATGGAAAGGGCCGGCTCACCAGGGGGAGCTCCCTGTCCGCAGAGGGGATCAAGCCATACACATACACATACGCTCTATGTGTACACACATACACACGTTATACCACAGCCATGCGACACACACGTGCACGGACAGACACACCTGCAATACACACGTGCTGTTCATTAAGGACTACCACACACAGAGAACATACGTGTGACACACATGCACGAGTGCATACAATGCATGCGGTATGTATACCTATGTGACACGTGCATAGACAATACACACGCACACAGATGCACACGGAGCACGTGTGCATGATACACACGGTACGTACACACAGACAGACTGCGTGATGTGTAACACGGGCACATGCAGTGCACACACACACGGTATGGCCACACACCTACCAGGCGCCTACATACAGAGTGAACTAGAAGACTCTACGGTCTCCAGGAAGAACAGGGCTCAAAGCCACCCAGGCCACAGTGCAGGACCCTCCCTCCCGCACGGCCGGCCCCTCTGCGGGTCTGTGGCAGCCACCACGGGCACCTCACCGCTAGCCTCAGCGGCCGAACGAGCCGGCCTGCACCCCGCTATTTGCCACGAGAGGCCTGGCGATCGCCGCGGCCCACACTTGCAAAGGACCCGCCGGGGGCCGGGAACAGGAAGGCGGCGGCCTCCAGAGGCTCTGAGGCGGGCGAGCTGGGGCCTGAATGCACCCCCTGAGGGTGGTCTGCTCACAGGGCCTCCCTGCCAGCCCCAGAGCCCGGAGGAGGCTGAGGAACTGTGGAGAGGCCCCCCAACACAGAGCACCTACCGCTGGAAGCGCAAAGAAGGAGATGGCGAAGACGGAGAAGCAGGAGGCGATGGTCTTCCCGACCCACGTCTGGGGCACCTTGTCCCCATAGCCGATGGTGGTGACCGTCACCTGCAAGGACGAGGGACAGCGGTCGGCACGCAAGCCCCAGAACCTCAGGCCGGGCGTCCGTCCGTCCAGCCTGAGCCCCGCGCTCCATCCGAGACCTGCCACCGCGCAGCAGAGGCCAGCGAGAGAGCCCAGCACCGAGCGGCCGGGCGGCTGAGAGCACGGTGCTCGAGCCCGCAGGGTCTGGGTCCCCCAGGCTAACGCCGCAGAGGAAGCGAGCCCCAGCGTACACACGGGCGCTCGGCGCCGACGGGGGTAGCCTCCCCGCCCCACCCCTGCTCCGTCCCCAGGAGGCCTGCCAACCGGGCCACCGATGTCGCTGTGCTCCGGCCCCCAGGAAGCCGGAAGCTCCCACAGAGGCCCACCCTCCCCAGAGAGCCCGGCCACGACGACGACACGCCACTTCCTGACGCCACCCCAGGCACCAGATGCTGCGTTTGCCCTTTGCTCGGAGGGAATCAGACGCAGCCTAGAGCCTCCTACATGGGGGAGCTGTCTGTCCAGGGCGTGTGCCGGGACAGTGGGACTGAGGGGCTGCTTCCACCCCACCCCCACCCTAGGCTTGCCTCTGCTGCCACCTGAGGCTTGCTCCCCGGCGGGGCCTCCGGCGTGAGCCCGCCAACGCCATCCTGCAGGGACGCAGAGCCCACCCTGGCTGTGCCGGCCACGCGGCCACACCTGTCCACGCCAGGGTCCGGGTGCGTGAGGAGCCAGCTCTGCGCCTGGCAGGGGGACCAGGGCGCCCAGAGTCCTTGCTCATCCCGTCAGTACACGCGCTCAACCCGTGGTCTCGCCAGCCCTGTGCTAGGCAGCCCGGCTTCCCCCTTCCAGGGCCCCCAGCCCAGGCCAAGTGAGGACGGCCCCTGGCAGCTCGGGAAGTTCTGCACGGAGCCTCCATGAGACCCCCCTGCCCGCTGAGACCGGCGGGGAGCAGGGCCTGGGGAGGCCCATTTCATAGATTCCACTGAACAAGGCCCAGGCGGGAGGCGGCGGCTTCTACAGCAGGGTCCTTGGGGCCCGCACACGTGTCCACGCGGACAGGGACAGGCACACAGGACGGCTCAGAAGCCCCGGGGCAGAGGCGAGATGTCCTCAGGAAGCAGGAGGGACCAAGAGCCTGGGCAGCGGGAAGGACCGCAGTGCGGGAGCCCGGGTTACACCGAAGAGCACAGCCTGGGGGCAGCACGGGCGCACGCTCCCACCCACCCAACACCCACCATGTGACTGTTCGTGGTCCTGGCTCCCGGGACCGCCACACGGAGCACTTCCTGGCAACGTCACCGTCCCTCAGACACACGTCCACGCCCGCTTCCAATGTGCTGCCCGTGCACGCGTGCACACACACGGATGGCCTGACACGGAGACAGGGAGCCGCACACGCACGCTGAGACACGCTAAGGCAGCAACGAGGCACACGCATGTGTACGTACCACACGTGGCGCAGGGTCACATGAAGAGGGGCCGGTGCCCGCATCAAGCCCAGCTCCCTCCAGGCCCAACGCCTCACATGCACACACAGGCAGTGCACACCTGGAGCCCGGCCCAGTACCTGCAGGGTGGAGCAGGCCAGCCTGAGGCCTTGGGCAAGGCTGAAGGCCAGCAGGCAGATAACGGGGCCGGGAGAACCTGCAGCTCCCCGCCAGCAGCCCCCAGAGGGTCTGCGCCCCTCGTGTGAGGCCTGGGCGGCAGCTGCCTCTCAGCACCTGGGTGCACGGAGCAAAGGCACATCAGGGCTGCACATGGGGTGGGGCGCCCAAGACGCCGCATCCAGTGTCTTCCGGAAAGTGGCTCTCATAGAATTATTTATTTATGTGTAAACATACAGTGGGTCTATTTTTAAATTTCTAACTTTCATCTTCTAATGCGGTATTGACAGACGTGAGTCCCGTAAACGAAAGCCTTCTGGGGTCTTCAGTCACTGATAAGGGCGTCAAGGGGTCCTAAGACTCCAAGTTCGAGAACGGCAGCCATGCAGGGAGGTGGGGGCAGGGTGACCTCTGAGATGGGCCTGAGTGTGGCCCTCACGCCAGGGGGCAAATTTTAAGCAGTGCCAGAAAACTCGGGCTTCGAGACAAATAACACATAATACAACCTTCTAATTATCAAAATTAAGGAAAAAAAAACCCACCAAGACAACTGGGAAACTGATGTAGGTGGGAGGAGGAAAGGGGCTGGCTGAGCGGTGCGGCCAGGCCAGCGGGTGGGGACACCCGAGGCCACCTCCCTTCTCGGACAAGAGCACTGGAGGCGGGACCCCACGTCCTCGCCGCCCGGCTGGGAGGTGCTGGGACTCCAATGGTGGGCAGCAGGAAGAAGCCAGGGGAGCCCCGGCCAGGTGTCCCCCACCCTGCGGTGCAGGGCACACTCCTGGCTTCTCAGACTCTGCCACAGACCTTCTTTGTCAAGTTAACGACATCCTTTCAGCTCTTTGAGGAAACAGCCCATCCCCGCAGAGCTGTTTGTTTTTCCTGAATTCACAGACACAAGCAGCTCAGGAATGGGCCGTTTTATAGCCTGCGTGCTCAGAACTCGCCCCCCATGGCAGGCGATCGGAATGCAGATCTGCACGCCCCCTGGGCACAGACTCCGGGGAGACAGCTCAGCGGGGGGGGCTGAGCCTAGGGTGCGTCCCCCGTCCCCCGTGTCTCTCCTCCAGGGACAGGAGGCACGAGAGGACCTGCCAGTCCCCCCAGCACTTTGTGTCACGAGAAGCTGGCGCTAGTGTCATTTTATTTCCTCCTGGACGCTGGCCTCCGGGGGAAGCGGGAAGGCCAGCCCAGGAGCCCAGCTCCACAGAGGACGCGGTCAGCCTGCAGCCACACTGCAGGCCATGGCCATCTGTCCAGAGGGAACGGGCAGCCAGGAGTGGGAGTGAGGAGGCACCAACGTGGACACTAGGGGCTCGCGCCGGGGGAGGGCACCCCCGTCTGGCAAACTCGTGACCACGCTGTGAGCTCGGGTCCATCTGCCAGAGGGGGAAACTGAGGCCGGGGGGTCTCACCACTGCTAAGTGACGGAGCTGGCAACCAAACCGGCTCCTTGGCGGGACAGCTGGAGAACAAGCCCAGGGCCAGAGGCTGCCGCGCTGAGGGGTCTGGGGCTCGCCCAGCCTCGGGCCACCAACATGCCCAGAGGAGGCTGGAAGGACGGAGCCAGGGAGAGGGCACCTCGGGGGAGGAGAGGTGTGGACAGAGGGGAGGCTGGGCGGGTGGCAGGACTGCCTCAGGACAGCAAAGGGTGGGAGCAGCGGTCCCGGGCCCCAGCTCCAGCCATCGTGGGGCTGCCCCAGGAGACCCCGGCCAGGCTTGCAGGGGACACCATGAAGGGGACAGAGGCCGGCACGTGAGGGCCGAGGGGACAACCCTGCCAGGCTTGCAAATTGTGGGTAAAAACAAAAGCAAACACCACCCCCCCCAAAACAAGCCCGCTTCCTTTCAGAAAGGAAAAACTCAGTAAACGAACAGAAACCCACGCGGGCCCAGGGCTCCTCGTTGCGTGAGCGCATCTTCTCCCTATGGAAACCTCGGCGCCCTGGCCGCTGTACTCTCGGGGAAAGGGTGCGGACCGTGGGGACGGGGTCAAGACCTTTCTCCCTCCTCGGGAGGGGCCCTCAGGAGCTTCACACAGTGCCTGGTGGGACGCTGTGGACACCCCGGGCCCTGCCCGGGCCGCGCCCACCCCACAGCATGGCCAGGCTCATGGCCCCTCAGGCAGGAGACTCTGCCTCGAGGGCTCCGCTCCGACGTGTCCTCCTCAGGGGGCCCTCACTGACTCCCAGGGAAATCACGGCATGCAGACCACGACTGACCACGACCAAGCCTCCGAGAGTGAGACCCCCAGGCGGCTGACCCCCTGCTGTGCCCCCGTGCCCAGCGCAGAGCGGGACTGCCGGGATGTGCCTGGTGCCCAGGACCAGCCCGGCCAAGAGGCCCCAGTCCTCCAAGGAATGTCTTGGAAGCAACGGAAAGAGTCGCTACCTTCCTGGGATCGTGGTCCCCTCAGGGAGCCCCACGTCGGCCCTTGGAGGTAGACCTGCCGCCTCCCATTTTACAGATGGGGAAACCAAGGCACAGAGCGGTCACACGCCCTGCCCTGGCCCCAGCGCAGCTGCACGGTGCACCCACCCCTCTGCGCCCCACTGCTGGCCTGGCGGGAAACACAGGTCCCTGGGGGCCAGGAAGAGCCAACACACGTAGGCGCGCACACATGCACACGCGTGTGCGAAGAGGGGCCGCTCTGTGAGTTAAGGTGTTAGAGGCCGGGAGCCGGCCGGGGCAGAGCTGGACCCTGGGCACCAGCAGGGCTAAGGGCTGTGACTGGGCCGCGGCAGCCACGAACACTCGAGTGTGAATTAGGTGGCTGGGGGGTCACTGCCTGTCGGCCAGCCTGGGGGCGCTGCCCAGAGAACCGTGGCCAGTAACAGCCCCTCAAATTCACAGCCGGCCTTCGCTGCATCCTCGTTGGGCGCCAGATACCCCGGGCTCTCTGTGTCCTCACTCACAATCCTCCCCAGCTCACGAAAATAGGCACCCAGCTTATACCCAGGGAGGCTGGGTAACCTGCCCGGGGCCACTCAGCAGGTCAGCAGCGGAACAGGATGGCTTCACACCACGCTGCCGCCCGTTTTACCCCACTACTTCCTGTGTCACTGTGTTCCTGACGCTGACCATGTTTCTCTCCCTCGAGCTGAAGCTGGAAAGTTCTTACCCGGGATGACAAGAGCTGAACACCTGCCTCACTGGGCCTGCTGAGTCCATGTAATAAAGTCGCCCCAGGGGGGTCCCTCAGTGGGTAGTAAGTACAGAGAGGCAGACCTGCCCTGTGGACCCCTACTCATCCTGCAAAACCCAGTCGTAAAGGCCCTTCTCTGGCTGGGCTCCCAGAGCCCACGGTCTCAGCCCCCTACACAACTGTCAACAGGTGCAGGATGGGATCGGGGCAGGTGGCAGCCCAGGGTCCTGGAGACCCTCTGTTCTTAGCTGCATAGCACCCCTGGGCTTTGCATGGAGTCCAAGCAGAGGAAAAGCCTTGAAGGGCTGGGGGCCTGGCCCACCACCCTCCGGGCCCACAGGGCTTCGGTTTCCCCAGCTCCAGATGAGGTCCTGACCCTGGTTCCACCCACTGGGCGGTGCCGACAGGCCTTGCATGTGAATATCTGGGAGGCCCTGTCCTCACCCAGACCCACCACTCGGCCCCCAGACCCTTTCGGCCTCACTCTGCCAGGATGCAGTCCAGCCTGGAGAGCCAGAACCTTCTGGAGCCAACAGCTAAGGAGCCAGACTCTTGTTTTAAATGGTGGCTGAATGCAGGGGCGGCTTCTAGCCTTTCCACTCTAAATTCTAAATTTAGATGCAGGGGGTAAACAGAGCCCGGCAGCCTCCTGATTTGAGAGACCCCCGGGCACTAAACAGAGGAGCCCGTGTTTGCAAAAACTGCTCTCCCCCCGACTCAAACTTTAACACAAACAAATGCATTTTGTTCCAAGGGCAAAGAAAAAAGTCTTCAATCCTCCCCAACACCTCGGCAGCCAGGCACGGGGCGCCACACTCCGGGTGAGGGGGCAGCTCTCACGCCCAAGTCAGGCGTCCCCACCTGGGCTAGCGGGAGCGGAGGGGACCCTCAGCCTGGAAACTGAGGCTTGGGGAGGGGAGAGACATTCTTGTGATGTCCACCTGGGATGGCGCCGGCCTGGGCTGAAGGGTGTCCACACAAATCCATGCCCACCCAGGCCCTCAGAACACAAGCCTGTTTGAAAAAAGGGTCTTTGTTGATGCAACTGGATAATGATCTGGAGAGGAGATGGTCCTGGGCTCCCTGGGTGGGCCCGGCACCCACTGACCAGTGTCCTGATAAGAGACAGAAGGTGCAGCCACAAACCCAGGAGCACTTGGGGGCCCCAGAAGCTGGAAGAGGCAGGAAGGACCCTCCCCCAGAGCTTTCGGAGGGAGCCAGCCCTGCAACCCCTTGATCTCGGACTTCTGGTCTCCAGATCCATGAGAGAACGCAGCTCTGTTATTTTAAGGCGCTCCGTCTGCGGGACTTTGCTGTGGCCGCTGATGCACCCGCTGTCCCGCGGGCCACAGACAGAACCGCTTTACGGGCACGTCAACTGATGCATCCACTCGTCCAGCAGACACCGGCCCAGGGGGGGTGCTGAGGCTGCCGGCGCCACCCCTGTGGCACCTACAGCCCTGCCGGCGGGGCCACACGCAGCAGTGGCCACCCCCCCCCCGGGAACCCGCCCCCCTGCCCTGGCTCCACAGAGGAAACACAGCAGATGGCCCACCCCAGCGGCCCAGACGCCCTAGTTTCAAGTCTGTCCCACGCATCCAGCCAGAGGTGCCGGTCTGGCGTGGACGCAGCGTGGTGGTGGGCAGTGGCCCGGCCGGCAGGCCTCTCCCTGCCAGGCTGTACCACCTGGTAGGCAGACCCTGGTCTGTCCGCCCCGGACGGGGAGCCACGGGGCATGGCAGGGCCGGGCTCGCTCCCCGTGTGGCCCACGAAGCCACGCAGAGGACGGCGCGGGACAGCCACCGTCGGGCGCAGCGGCCAGCTGGCTCTGAAGCCCCCGGCCAGGCCGCGCTTCCTGAGCTGCTCGTCCAGGACGTGCCAGGAGCAGAGCCATAACTCGAGCCGCGGCCGCTCCACCCGCCTGGACAGCTGCAGGGGCGCCACCGCTGTGAATGGGAGTCGCCTGCCCAGGAGCTGGGCGGCGGGGGTGCCGGGCCCGCGGGAACAATGGCCAGGCCGGGGCCGCAGCTGACGGCGAGGCTGGGGCACCGGTGCCAAGCCGGGCACAAAGGGGCCGTTTTCCCGGCCGGCGGGCGGATGTTTGCACAGGTGTGCGAGCGGGAGCGCCGTTCGCAGGGGCCGGGCCGGGGGCAGCTCCGAGCGGCCGGGGAGGTGGGGGCCGGTGCCAAGGCCGAGCACCGCTTATCAGCTGAGCCGCGGGCCGTCGCCCATGCGCTTCCCACCGTGCCATCCAGTCCCAGGGGTCCTCCCGGCTCTGGGCGTCCTGTCCCTCCACAGGACCTGCCTGTCACCAGGACGCCTCCCCTCCCTGCCCGGCGCTGGGCTGTCCCACCGAACCTGCCGGGGGGATGGGCCGGGGGCTGCCACGCCCGGGCCCGTGGAGGCACAGGCCTGCAGGGGGGCCAGCAGAGCTTGCCTTCCCTGGGCGGCCTGGCACACTGGAAGCTTCCAGAAAAAACGCTGACTCGGCCGATATCAGGCGCCCCTCCCCCAACACGTGTGGGCCTCCTGGGGGTGTGGGTGGAGGCACACGGGGCAGCTTCCCGCCCCACCCGGACCATCCGGGATGGGCCTCCCTGTGGAGGCTGGTGGGGAAGCCGGGAAGAGAGTGAACCCCTACCCCGCTTCCGGAAGGAAGCAAGTCAGGGACAGACACGGCCGGCACAGCCACTGCCCGGACCCGGGACCCCTTGGACCTGGTGCTGCCCCGAGGCCTCGGCCCGACATCGTGCAGTCTGCGACCCTCTCCTCTCCCTGGCTGAGCGAGCCTGGACGTCAGCCCCCAGCCCCCAGGGGCTCCCACCGGCCACCCTCAGCTTCGGGCAGCTCGCGGCCGGTCCGCTGTCACTAGCCCCTGGCACCCAAGTGCACCCCACAGGGAAGGGGGAGAGCCAAGGCCGGCCCACGGCCCAGAGTTGGCCCACGCAGCCGGCATTCGGGCTGCACCCCTGCCTTCCCCCACGGCCAGGGTCTGTCCGGGCTGCCTCAGGGCCCCCTGCATGTGCTGTTCCCAGGCCGGTAAGCTGCTGGCCACCCTGCCACTGAGAGCCCAGGACCTGTCTCCCCACAAGGCCCGAGCGGAGGGTTTGTTGAGGGGTGTCCTCTGCGCCCTGAGGCCCACACACAAGTGAGGCTGGGCTTCCGTGGTGAGCAGGCCCCGGGGGCCACACAGCTCAGACGTCCTGCCGCTGGCGGAGACCCCTGCAGCCACCCACAGCGTGGCCATGTGCCGCGCCCCGCGCCCCACGTCTCCCTTCCCCACCACAAGCCTGACCCCTGGGAGGAGCCAGCCCACGCTCCTGGACACGTCCAGGCCGAGGCCAGGGTGCTGGGTGCTTGCAGGAGGGGGACACGGCACACGCAAGGAGCCCAACTTCACAGGCGGGGGAGCCTCCAGGCCCCCAGCACAGAAGCCGGGGCACTGCTGTGTCACCGCTGCCCGGGGCCGGCGAAGGATTTGCGGGCCGGGTGCGCAGTCAAAACGTGGAGCGCTTTCCTTTTTCCCAGCACCCCCCGCCCTGTCGTGGTGGCTTTTGTTTGCTCTACAAAGTCACGCTCCTCGGCGCAGGGATACTGGAGGGGCCAGCACAGAACCTCACAGACGCGGGGCACAGGGTGGCGGAGGAGCCGGCCCCGGGGAAGGCGGGAGCTGGGACCTCGTGCGGCCGTCGTGCCCACTGCACAGTCGCTCTCCGTCCCGCCAGACTTGCCTCCCAAACGGCAAGTTCAAAGATAAAAACCTTACGGACCCCACATGGTGACCGTCGGGCTTTACGCATCCAGCGTGGGGCCCTTCTGTGCGTGGAGCCCTGTGCCGCCCGCCCGTCCAACCTGTGCCCAGGCGGGGCTTCAGGCGTTTGTGGGGTGGTCTCGAGGCGTAAGATCTTGAGACACCAGAGCCCCAGGGTGACATCCCGGCCCCGCCCCGCCCAGGCCCCGGGTGGGCAGTGGCCGCGTGGCCCAGAGGTCCCGACTTACCACCCCCCACCAGAGGGCGTCCGCGTAGCTGCCGAACTCGACCTGGCCCGACTCGTTCACGGCGTCCTTCTCGGCCAGGTACACGAAGTAGGAGGAGAAGATGAGGCCCAGGAAGCCGATGTACAGAGTGGTGATCAGCTCCTGGGAGACGGCAGAGGAGGTGTGACCAGCCGGCGCCCACGGGCAGCCGGGGCCCTGCGCACCCGCGCCGGGCAGACATCACAGGGGGCGGGGCCTGCTGGCGGCAAAGCCCCAACACTTCCCACCGAGTTGACATAAATGCCAGCGTGTCTCACACGCAGACAGCGGACTTCAGAAATAACATTTTTCCCAGCTCGTCAGTGGCAGTGCTGGGTCTCAGCCTCCAGGAGCGAGACCAGTGCCCTGGGCCGCCAGCCCGGCTCTGTTTCCTGCAGAGCCCCGGTGAGACGCGGGGCGGGGCCTCACGAAGGGGTGCGGGTCGGCCGCCTCCGCCTTCACGGCGCTGATCGTGATCTGCCCCGGTTTAGATTTCGGGGCCTCTCGGACCCTCTTCCGTGTGGCATTTCTGTCTTTCCATCTGCCCGACAGTCTCTTGTCCCGGCTTGAGGGACGTGGGCACCACCTGCCTGGCAGGCTGGGGACACTGGCCCCTCAGCTTGGGGGCAGGACAGCCCAGCTGGCTCAGGCCGAGGCTGGGCCGAGACCCTGTCCTCCCCCCCGGACCACCCACCTGGCGGTGGATGAAGACCACCGAGCCCAGCAGCCTCCACGTGCCCCCCTGGCGGTCGACGTGCAGCATCCGCAGGATCTGGAGGAAGCGGATGCCCCTGCGGAAGACAGGTCACTGGGCGCCCCTCCCGCATGCGCCCCTCCCCCTCCCCCGTGCGCCCCTCCCCCTCCCGAAGCCCAGGGTCAAGGTGGGGGCAGCACCCCAGGCCCGGAGCCAAACCTGTACATTTCTCAATTCCTTTGGCCCCCAGACCACCTTCTGGGGGCGGCCCCAGGATCACCCCAGTTTACAGACGAGCAGACGGAGGGCCCCAGACTGTCAGGTCCCAGCCTGAGTCCCAGAAGTGAGTAAGCGCTCCTGTCCGACTCAGCACCGGCCCTGAGCCTAACCGCCCCCCCCAGCACGCGGCCCCGCGGCTCTCACACCCCCGCACCGGGGAGCCCGCAGCCCCGCCTACCTGATGGCCGAGGTGGCAAACACCTGCCCTTTGGAGCCCACGCAGAGGACGACCATGGAGGCCACGACCACGATGAGGTCTGGAGGGGACAGCGCCACCGTCACCAGCCTGGCAGCTGGACACCGGCAAGGAGCCTGGCGGTCAGGCGGGACAGGGCCCAACAGTGGGGACACGGGGACACCTCAATGGGGAGACCAGGCCCTCCGTCCCAGGCACGTGCACAGGCCACCCGAGCCTACCTCCCCAGCCCTGTCTCGCAGGCCGCTGAGGGCAGCGGAAGCCCAGGTTGTGTTGAGCTTGACCAGACCCCCTGCCCTGTGAGCAGCCTCTTGGGACAGAGGACCTGGGCGCTGAGGCTGGCTCCTGTGTGGGGGACCTGGGAGGTCACCCCACTGGCCTTGGGATCCTGCCCTGTCACAGGCGGAGGAGGGACTCTGCCTGGTGGTGTTCGTGATGGGGGTCCACCTGCCAGATTCTGGGGGAGGGGCTCAGCTCTTGCCAGGAAACCTCGGGGTGAAGCTTCCAGGGGGGCGGGCGTGACTCACCGATGATGGAAATGGGCTTCCGGGCAAAGCGCAGCCGGCCCCAGATGCCCACGTACTTGCTGCGGCAGCCGGCTGACCAGAGGCGGACCACGTACTCCGTCCCAAAGAACACGACCAGGACGATCTCCTGCGGGGACAGAGGGACGTGAGCTCACCTCAGGCCCCTCCCCCCTGCACCCCTCCCCCTCCCCCGTGAGCCCACTGAGAGCAGGCGGCCTGGGCCCCCGTCTGCTGCATCGCCCACCTGGACAGGCCCAGGTCCACCACCGCATTCAGTACCATAGAAAAAAGATTAGACACTATGACTAAGTGGGATTTATACCTGGAATGCAAGGACAGTTCAGCACATAAAAATCAACCAATGTAATACATGACATTAACAGAACGGAGGGAAAAAAGTCACATGGTCTCCTGATCGCAACGGATGCAGAAAGAGCATTTGACAAGATTCAGCACCCTTTCATGATAAAAACAGTAAACAAACTAGGAATAGAGGGAAACTATCTCCGTGTAATAAGCGCCATATATGAAAACCCCGCAGCGAACGTCATATCAACGGAGAAAGGCTGGAAGCTTTTCCTCTAGGATCAGGACCGAGACAAGGATGCCCACTCTCACCACGTCTATTCAACAGAGTACTGAAGTCCCAGCCAGAGCAATTAGGCAAGAAAGAGAAATAAAAGGCTTCCAAATTGGAAAGGAAGAAGTAAAATTATCTCTGTTCACAGACGATATGATCTTATGTGTAGAAAGCCCTAAAGATTCCATGCGAAAACCCTGTTAGATCTAATAAATGAGTTCAACAAAGTAGGATACAAAGTTGATCACAAAAATCAGTTGCATTGGGCTTCCCTGGTGGCGCAGTGGTTGAGAATCTGCCTGCCAGTGCAGGGGAGACGGGTTCGAGCCCTGGTCTGGGAAGATCCCACATGCCGCGGAGCAACTGGGCCCGTGAGCCACAATTACTGAGCCTGTGCGTCTGTAGCCTGTGCTCCGCAACAAGAGAGGCCGCGATACTGAGAGGCCCGCACACCGCGATGAAGAGTGGCCCCCGCTCACCACAACTAGAGAAAGCCCTCGCACAGAAACGAACACCCAACACAGCCATAAATAAATAAATTAATTAAAAAAATCAGTTGCATTTCTATACACAAACCATGAACAATCTGGAAGGGAAATTATAAAACAATTCCATTTACACTAGCACCAAAAAGAATAAAGTACTTATGAATTAACCAAGGAGGTAGGACACTTGTACAATGAAAACTAAACAATACTGTTTAAAGAAATCAAAGACGACCAATAGATGGAAACACATCCCACGTTCACGGATTGGAAGACTTAATACCGTCAAGACGTCAGTGCCACTCAAAGGGATCTGTAGACTCAATGCAATCCCTCTCAAAACCCCGATGACAATTTTTGCAGTAATAGAAAAAGCCCTCAGATTCACACGAAATCTCAAGGGCCCCTGGATAGCCAAAACAAGACGTGGTCCATCCACACGACGGAATATTCCTCAGCCTTAGAAAGGAGGGAAGTGCTGGCACAGACTACAGCGTGGATGGACCTGAGGATGTTGTCAGCTCACTTCCAGCTGGTGCCCTGCCCTGTCCCCACCCCGTCCCAACCCAGGGAACCCAGCCCTGTCTGGGGACTCCTGCTCCCATGCCCGGCCTTGCCTTCCCCCACCATGGGGCCCACCGGGAGGGGGTAACCGGACACTGGCTCCCGGATACCCATAACTAGGATGGAATCCTCATACCATCCAGCTTGTGTGTGGGGCAAGCTCGGGGGATGATGGGAGAAAACGTGGGAAATTTCCCGCTTTCCTTTTGCAAGAAAGTTCTTGGTTTGCAACGTCACGTTCTTCAGGGTCGGGGTATGTATGGTTGGGGGCACGTGGGGGATGGTGGAGAGTGAGGGAGGGGGGACGCTCGCAGGCTCTGTGGCCTCAGAGGGTCGTGCTGGTGCCACCTCTGTCCTCAGCTGGAGGGTGGCTGAGCCCACCGGGGAAGGGGCCGTGTTTACCTGCCCGCCGCCCTCTCCCTGGCCCTGGACCACGCCTGCCTTGGTTGGCCCTGGACACGGATCTGCTGAGTGAGTGAATGAATGAATGAACGAACAAACGACCGATCAGACCAACGAGCGACCGAGGGCTCCCTGGTACCAGGGCTTCGTCTCGGGCGTGTGTTTCCCGAGATTCTGGCCCAGCCGGTCCTAAGTGGGTGTAAGGAGGAGATGACAGACAGGAAGCCCTAGCAATGAACGACGGCGTAGGGGGGGAGCGGCTGGAGGGTCCGGCTTCCAGTGTTTGCCCATCTCGACAAGGGCCGCAGAGCCACCACCTCTGGGTCCCCAAAGCTGAGACACCAGTGCTGGCATCTTCACAGAGGAGGGGTCACCGGACTGCTGATGGCCCTGAGGGGGCGGACAGAGTCCCCCAAAGAGCAGTCCTCAGGGCCTCCATCCCAGCTCTGCAAATCCAGACACCGCCGGGCTGATGAGTCACTTAGCAGGTTTGTTCTTATTTCGATGCATTATTTTGTTACCTAAATACCTTCTCCAGCCGCGTCCTAAGCATATTCGAAGCGGTAGAAATCTTACAAACATCAGGTAAGAGCTTACTGCACTTCAGTCTTGCAACAGACCTTCTGATAAATAAGTAACTCCCAGGGCTGGCTGTTGACGCTGCGTGTCTCCCCCTCCCCCCAGATTATCCTGGCCTCGAGCTCAGAGCTCCCCCTGCCCTCTTGGGGCTGGCGGGCTGGGGCTGGGGGACTCTCCCCCTGGAGGGGTGAGAGGTAGGAATAATTTAAAACAACGCTAAGCCCCAAGTCCCATTTGAGTCTGGAATGCAGCTCGAGGCCGGGATGGACATGCCACCAGTCCACCACCGGCATGCTGGGCGGGAGAGAGCCCGGACCGGGGCGGGGGGAGCACACGTTTGCTCCAAGATCAAATGATCCCCACGCCGTCAGCCTCGAGCGCTGGGCAGGGTGGCACTTGGGGCCAAGGCCGCCGGGACCTCCAGGGCGTCGCCGTGGCCCAGCCATCACCATCGTTTGGAGCCGCCTGTCCACTGACCTGGGTGCCGGGAGGGCGGACAGGCTGGCCTGAAGTTCTGGACCTGCAGGGACTCTGGAATTCTTTCACCAGAGGGGCCTGGGCCACCCTGGGCTGGGGGCTGCTCTGGGGGCTTTGACTGGGCTGGACTGTCCATCTGTGGAGGCCAGTAGGCTAGGGCCTGCCGGAGGGCTGACCCCCCCAAGTCTTCCTGTGGGGCTGCCCCTGACTCAGGGGACAGCACCCCCAGTCCAAAGCAGGCTCACGGAATGGCAGGGCTGCTTCCTCTTAGCTCCGGGGAAAGGGGGACCAGCCTCCAGCCTCAGTGACCCAGACCCAGAGGATGACCCCCCGAACCCCTACCCCCGGCCACCCTCCCTGCCCTGGGTTTTCTCCAGCCAGCAGGGGCAGGCCTGCAGCTCGGCTGTCTCTGCAGACCAGGCCCTGAGCAAGCCCCGGAGGGGAACACAGAGGCCTCAAGCTCCCCCCAGAGCCTGCCCACCTCAGCCCCTGCCTCCACACCCCAGCTCAAGCCACCGCCCTGGCCCCACGGCCCACACTAAGGGTCAGGGCTTGCCCCGGCCCACCCGAGAGCCTATCGCCGGCCCAAGGCACGCGCCCCTCCCCGCCTGGGCCCGAGTGCTCGGCCTGGGGCCCTGTCCTTCCAGCTCCTCCCCCCCCCCCCGCCCCCCAGGTCCCCACACCCCCCTCGGTCCCGCTCAGGCCCCCCCCATCACACCTGACCCCTCCACTGATAAGAGTCAGCCCAGAGGCCCCTGTCCACGAGCCCACGTGGTGTCTGCATGCCCGCATGTGAGCAGGGGTCAAGGATACTGGCCGGAGCACGGCCCTGAGCTCTGCCCCACAGATATGGGGAGAAGGGGCCGTCCTCGTGTCAGGGACCTCCGCTAAGACCGCAGTCACCAGAGGGACGAAGGGCCCCCTCCCACCTGGCCACTGTCCCTCAGACAAAGCAAGGTCGCCTCCCAGCTGCACTTGGCCTCATGGACCAGGGACCTGTGAGCCGGCCAGGCACCAACACCAGGGCACAGGCCCGAGAATCCCCCGCCTGTGGGAAGCAGACCAGGCACTCAGACGTCAGGGCTCCAGGCAGCCACGAGCCCCGCACCTCGCGGCCGTGCCCCTCCTTCTGTGAGTTTCAGAGCAGCGGGTCCTGGGCTCCCCATGTGTCTCACAAGCAGCGGGGTTTGGGGTGGCTCTTGGCAGTATTATTTGTAATGTTTAGAATTATTTTAAAAAACAAAGTTCCTAAGAAACAACTCAATTAAAAAATGGGTAGGAAACTCGAATAGGCATTTCTCTAGAGAAGACATACAGACGGTCAAGAAGCACATGAAAAGCTGCTCAACACCACTGGCCGTCGGGAAACGCAAATCGAAACCACAGCGAGACACCGCCTCACACCCATCAGGACGGCTACTATCAGGGAAGCGAGATAAGTGCTGGCGCGGATGCAGAGAAACTGGAGCCTTGCGAACGGTGGGCGGGAATGTAAAATGGTGCGGCCGCTGTGGAACAGTGTGGAGGGTCCTCGAAAACTTAAAAATAGAATCACATGTGATCCAGCAACTCCACTTCTGGGTATAGCCTCAAAAAAAAAAAAAAAAAAGAAAAGAAAAGAAAGCAGGATCTCAAAGGTATTTGCACACCCGTGTTCACAGCAGCACTATTTACAACAGCCGAAAGGTGGAAGCAACCCAAGTGTCCGTCGAATGAACAGATACACAAACTGAGGTCCGTCCACACTACGGAATATTACTCAGCCTTACAGGGAAGGCAATTCTGACACAGGCTGTGATGTGGGCGAACCTTGGGGACACTACACTCAGTGAGAGAATTCAGACACAGAAGGACAAATCCTGTCTGATTCCACCCACATGAGGTCCCTGGAGGAGTCACGTCCATAGAGACAGAAAGTAGACGGTGGGGTCCCGGGGCTGGGAGAGGGGAGTGAGTGTGTAATGGGGACAGAGTCTCTGCTTGGAAAGACAGAAACTTCTGCAGGCAGATGGTGTGACGTTCCCTCAACAGCGTGAATGT